AGGAGGGAGCCGTGAAGACTCTCTCCTTTGTGAGCCAGTACTCCTTTGCTTTGCAGAATAAATGCATCCTGCCAAGAGTGGCCGGGAAAGAACTTTCTCCTAAGATTCTCGTATCACAAGATCAAAATAGGTTTCCGAGGGCAGAAAAGATGCTCTGATGGAGTGAGTTGATCCATTTTGGGGGTAAAGGAGTTTGGGGGGAGTCAGGTGTTAGGCACGGCTGGAGCTTGGGTAACGTGGCGGGAGAATCTTTCAGCGATCTACAACCCCAGCTTCAGATAGTTAGTTCGGATTTGGAGATTCTTTCTGTCTCCCGTGCCTGGCAACTCCCGAGCACACATTCATGCCTTCTAGAAGTTTGCTTTCCTCCCTTTTCTGCAGGATTTCTCAACATCAGCACTCTTAACATTTGGGGCTGGACCATTCGTGGCTGCGGGGGGCCGTCCTCTGCCTTGTAGGATGTTTGGCAGCATCCTTGGCCTGTACCCAGTAGATGCCAGTGGCAACCCCCCCACCAGTTGTGACAACCAAAATGTCTCCAGACATTGCCTGATGTCCCCTGGGGGCAAAAATCGTCCCTAGTTGAGCCCACTGTGCTTTATTGCGCTATTCCTAACGGCTGCTAGAGTGGAGATGCAAAATCTCGCTGGACCAGTGAGGCTGCTATCCTGGTAAGTGAGCTGTCCAGCTGGGAGAGTCTGAACTCAGGGGCTTCGATCCTGCAAAATGAGCCCGTTCCCTAAGCCATCAGTGGGAAAACTCTGTCACATGAGTTTATTTAAAACTGACACAGATCCAGAGAGCAAAGCCACACTTCCTTCAGATCATCTCTTTAAATAATAGGTTGAAGGCAACAGAATTGTTACTGAGCAAATTCCCTCTGCAAATTTCCAGGCCCTTCGGTGCCAAAGAGAGGAAACCCAATCTAATGCGGGTTGCCTTTTTGGGAGAGGAAAATAAAAGACCAAAAAATTAAGGATTCCTTTATTGTGCCTTTAGCTTCTGAGCCCAGCAATTAATTCTTATATGCTAAAGGACTTCTGTGTTTATGAGCATTATTATTTAATGTAGGCCTATTTTAAATTGTAATTTTTTTCATTAAGTTGCCTCATTTTACTGATTAAGACCAGTTTATAACCTAGCTTAGACTGTGTTCCTTGAGTAATAACTATTTTTCTTTTAAAATATTTCTTAATGACCTTTCATCCATATTTTAAATTTTATCCTGTCAGAGAAGCTTTCCTGTTGCTCACAATCTGTCCTCATGGTTCTGAGTGATGTCGGAGGATGGAGGGCTGCCAGGCCCTCTGTGCTCTGCTTCAGAAATCTCCATAGAGGAATCAAAACAGCATCGACTACTGAATTCTCAGCCTCCGTGCTCCCGAGGCTTATCTGAAACAGCCAACAAAAAAATGGGCCGTCTACCCCCAAAGCTTTCTAGCAAACTCCTTAAAGCAGTCTTGCTGGGAGAAGAGGATGGAGGGCATGGAGAAACGGGGTGGCGAGGCAGGGGAGTGGTGGCCAGGCTTTCCATGTCAGCGCTGTCTCCATATGCCAGCGCTGCAGTAAGCCCCTTGCCTGGGCCATCTTCCTGTGTCTGCCTCCCCAACCTCGCCCAGCCCTAAGAGTAGGGTAATTATCTCCATTGGGCAGAGGTGGAAACTGAGGCTCAGAGTAGTGACACGACTTATCCAGGGTTGCAGGGCTGGCCTGTGGCAGAGTCAGAAGCTGTCCCCAGGTCTTTCTGGTTCCCAAGCCCAAGGTCGTAACCTCCTGGCACCAGTGGTCCCTGACAATATCCCTCTACAAAGAAGGATGCCAACTTTTCCAATCACTTTTCTGCTTTTCAGATCACTTTCCTCTCTATTTTCTCATCTTAGTGTCACCACTGCCCTGAGAAATAAGCACCGTGGGCCCCTTTTTCAGATGAGATGACTGAGGCCCAGAGAGGGGGAGGGACTTGACCTCTGTGTCCATGGCAGAATGAGGCTCTACCAGGTCCTTGGCTTCAAGGTCTGGGGCTGTTTCCTTTTCTTCCTGACCCTTTCTGCCCTTCCTTCTCCCCCATTGTTGGCTGTGCAGTCGGCCCTGATCCGGTGGGCCCTGGCCCCAGAGAGGGCACTGCAGAGACGGCATGGCTGGTCAGGGCCTCTCACGGGCATCCTGCACCACATCACTCTCTCATCCTTCTTCCCTCCCAGCAGTTCCGGCTGTTCCCTGGCTGCTGGACTGACCCAGGAATAAGGAAATGGTGATTCCCCTCACTTACCCTCAAGGACACAGAGAAAGTTCCAGAGGGTGACAGCAGGCTGTCAGATGAAAGACAGTCGGAGACCAGACAATGGTGTGGTAGAAGGGTCACAGGACTATGCTTCAGGAGACCTGGGTCCTGGTCTTAAATTGCCTGTTAATTGTCTCTGTGACCTTGGCTAAGGCCCTGCCCTTCTCTGGGCCTCAGTTTACCCATCTGTATAACAAAAGGGTTTCAATTCAAGATCATGAAGGCCGTTTCCCTACAATACTCTGTGATGGGGAATCCAACTCAATGACAGGGTGGCTGGATCCACTGATTAATTGTTGCGTATTCATTTATCTGCCTGTTCACTTTTTTTCACCAAGAACCTACTGAGTACCTACTGTGTGCAATATATTAGTGGAATGTATTAGTAGAAAACTGCTCTGACAAAGCACCCCCAAAATCTCAGTGGCTTAGTAACATTTTATTTCTCACTCATATCACTGTCCGTCAGGAACCGTGGGAGGACATTGCTCCCTGCTGTATTCAGGTACCCAGGTTCTTTGTATCTTATGGCTCTGCCCTCCTCCAGGTCCCCAGAGCCCTCTCCATCCAGCAGCAGATGGAGAGAGGGGGTGTGGGGGATGGCATGGGAGGTTTCTAGGGCCAGGCCTGGAAGCCATATTCCCCTGGCCAAGATTTAGTCACATGGCTCTCCCAAACTGCAAGGGAGGCTGGGAAATGTAGTCTGGCTGAGTACCTGGGAGGAGAAGGGAGTGGGGCTTGGGGAACATACACACAGCGCAAAGCAGGTGCAGTGTACAAGACAGAGGGAAGACAGCTTCAGACTCCAGGTGAGGGAGCCTGGGACAAGCAGAAGAACATGGGGGTCCAGAGGGAGACGCAATTGGCAGGTCCAGCATCTGCATCCTGTAAGAATCTATGCCCTTGGCCCTGCTGTCAACCCAGGACGTGCTGCCTCCTGCAGCCTTTCCCAGTCCCATCACCTTCCCTTGGAGACGTCTCGGAGGCAAGAGGACTGACTGAACAAGTCCTGCCATTCTCTGGCCTCAGTGTCTCCCATCCATAAAATGGGAAGAAAAATGACCTAGGCTGGGTCTCCAGGGAATCTAAGGAGCATCCGGTGTCTGCAAAGGGCCACAGAACAGCCTTCCCGAGCCTTCTTATTAATAGTGTAACCACACCATTATCAATAATGAAACACAAATTAATAATAAATAAACAAACTAGTGATAAATAATACATATGTCATGAATAATACATTCATACTACAAGGCTTTTGAGTATCTATTGCCTCTGACAGAGGGAAATTTGATTAGCTGGCTGGAGATCACAGAGGGAGAATATTTCAGAGGATCCTGGGAGGTTGGGACAGGGGACAGACGCCCAACAGTGGCAGGCACCTCTCCCTGCAAAGGCTGCAAAATGTTTGAAGTCCCTGTTGACCCAGAGCTGAGCTGAGTTTCTACTGGGGGACGTGAGAACCCGGAGTGAGAGTGGGGCCCACCCTTAGATATTCTTTCATGGTCCAAATTTAGGGTGAGGAATTCATAGCTCAATAAGGCAAAAAACATCCAGCCCCAACAGAACTGGGTGTGATGGCTAAGGCTAGGGCAGCTGAAGACGTCTGTAGAATTTATTTGTTCGTCCTTGGATTCACTCCGTCATTCATTCATTTATTCAATAAATATGCCTTCATTGCCAGTGGTGTGGCCAGCAGCATGCTGAGCACTGAGAGTGCAGTTACTGAGACATGCTTTTGGCCCTCAGGAGCTCATAGTGCATGGTGGTGGCAAAAAAGACTGGCAAAAAAGGGTGTCACCATGCAATGTGTTAGGGCTATGGTAGATGCTATGACAGGGGCACTTACCCAGGTTTGGGGGTGCTGGGCGTGTGGTAGGTGAGGTTAGGGTGTGTGTCAGGAGAGGCCTCTAGGGTAAGTCACATCTAAGCTAAGCCCTGAAGGGTATATCAGAGCGATGGTGGTAAAGTGATGGTAAGTGTTCCAGGCAGAAGGACGCCAGGTGCATAGACGCACTAGCCAGATGTCACTCCGGAGGGCTGAGGCTCAGCATGCAAAAGGCAGAGGGACAAGAGATGAGCTGAGGAGGAGGCAGGCCATGGGTGTGAGGGGAGGGGTGTGGACTGCATCCCAAAGGCAGCGGAGGGACAAAGGATTTGGCTCCTGGGTGTGACGTCACGTGCTGGACTGCAGCATGATCCACACTGGTGCAGGGCTACCCGGCTCACCAAGCCCTGGCACATGCAGTGTTCGTGTGTTTGTTCATTCTTTATGTGATTCGTGCCGCACACTGGCTGAACACCCACTGTGTGCCTAACCTCATCCAGGGAGCTAGAGACGCACACACCAGCTCCCGGACCTTAGGCTCCCGTGATGGGAGAGATGCATACAAAGAACCATGCGTTATATCACAATGCAGTGTGGATGGGCTATGATTGAGATGTTTACAAGGGGCTGTGAGCTCAGAAGAGGGAGTATCAGACTCATATAAATCAAGGAGGGGGTGACTGATGCATTGAACCAGGAAGGACGTGTACAAATTTCCCTAGGTGAACTCAGAGAAGAAGGGCGTTCCAGGAAGGGGAAACAGCGCAGGCACAACGAGGGACCTGAGGGGGTCTGGGAGGGCTGGTGGGGGGGTTGCGAGGGGCACAAACACATGCGAGACTGATTGAGTTGGAGAGGCCGAGAGAGGCAAGATCATTTGGGGCCTGGTCGGCCATGACAGAGTCTGAACTTGATCCTGAATTGTTGAAGGCAACGGGGTGGGGAAATTGAATGACATTAACCAGAGAGGTGGCGTCATCATATTTGAATTTTAGAAATATTATTGAGACTCCAGTGTGGTGGGTGCATTGGAGGGACAAGGCTGGAGACCAGCAATCCGGCTGTATAGGGTCCTGGGAGGGATTTTAAGGGCCCAAATCAAGGCAGGATTGGTGCAGGCCGGAGACAGTTTTGAGAGCTATTTGAGAGGAAGAATTGATCCATCTTAGAGATAGATGAGCCATTAGCTTCCTCTCTAGGCTCAGAGGCTTTCTTGTCTTAAAAGGCCCCCTCCGCCCTCGGCCCCAGCTCTCCTCCCGATTTCTGCTAAGAAGGATGCGACGGCCGGGAGCGCCTGCTAACCCAGCATGGGAGGGTGTATTTCACAGAACCCTCCGTACCCGCCTGAAAGATATGGTTGCAGTAATTGGTTTGTTGTAATAATATTTATGACGATAGTAATTACACGGCGCGGGGAGCCCAGGGAGGCTGTCGGCATTTATCTTCATGAGGTGGGGTGGCCTCTTTTCTTCATGAGTGGTGGTGCACGGGGCTCCTGTGATCACGTGGAGAAAATCCCAGACCCACAGAGGGGGGAGGGTGGCATGAGGAATTCGTGTGACCCTGACTTCCACTGTCCCCCCCAGTGGGGCCTTAGATCCAGCTGGTGGAGCTGCTGCCACCGCCTGACTGTGTGTCTGCCCCAGGTCAACGCTTGGTGTGGTCCACGCTGGTTCTCCCAGAGCAGAAGGGTCCTGAGTTCCCTGCACCACTTCTGCACTCCCAGACACGGAAGGGGGTGAGACACTGTTCCTGCCCTCAGAGAGCTCCTAGTCTGATGGCAGACACAGCGCCTGCCCTCTGATGGAAAGGTGGTGGTCCGTTGTTTTTGATTCTTCTCTAGATACTTTGTATCAATAAGTGATGACTTAGGTGACACAAGACAGGCACTGCCGGGCCAGGGTGACTCTCCAGAGCTGAGTTCAGAGGATGGTACTGCAGGGATGAAATGGAACAAATTCTCCAATCCAGCCTCAGGTCTCTCACAGCCCCAGAAAAGTGCAGACGCGTCTTCCTGGCCTTCCTAGCATCCTCTGCTGGCTTTGAACTTGAAAACGGCCTCAACCATCAGTGGTCCTGCTGCCCCCTTGTGGAGTTGTTGTGTCCTGCTGGTCTAACCTGGTGTCTGATCCCTCCACATACAAGAAGGATTTCTTGTGTATTTCCAGGCACCTAACCCCTCTACCCACCCCTGTTTTCAGCGTCCCCATTTGGAAACAAGGGACAGAGGGCTCTTGTGGGACAGCAGAAGAGTACGGGATTCAGAATCAAAGGGTCTGCCTGCTAAGCCTGGTTCTCTGTGTTTGTGAGGAAGTCATTCTGTATCTCTGAGCCTCAGTCTCCTCACCTCTAAAATGGGGACACTATTCCACTGGGTCACAATGGTGACAGATGAAATAATAATTATAGAAATGCTTTGAAAGTTGCCAAGTACTGATCAGATATTTATTTGCTCACTTTTTCATTCATTCAACACATATTTATTGAGCTCCTATAAAGTTCCAGGCACTGTTCTAGTTTCTAGGGATAAAGAAGTGATTAAAAGACACAAAGTCAAAGACCTCTGATTGTGGTGAGACGGGAGTAAAGACCAGCCTCCCTTTATCTTCCTCTAATTCAGCTGTGAGACCTGGACCATATGTATGGACACCTATTTGAAAAATCTGAAATGTAAACACTAGCAGGCAGTTTGGGGGAAAACACCAGAATCTGAATTACTACTGAAAGAATTAATATAAACAAGACCTAGAGTCTCATAAAGTAATACTTAAAATGTCCAAATACAAACTAAAATCACTCCACATACAAAGAACCACGAAAATCTCAATTCACCTGGGGAAAGACAATCAATAGACTCCAATGATGAGATGACACTTATGTTAGAATTATCTGACTTTCAAGTAGATGTTATAAAAATGCTTGGACAAGTAATCACAAATAGTCTCGAAACAAATATTAAAATAGAAAGGTTCAGCAAAGAAATGCAAGGTATAAAGAAGAACCAAATGGAATTTTTGGAACTGAAAAACACAATAACTGGAATGAAAAACTCACTGGATAGACTCAGTGGCAGGATAGAGATGATGGAAGAAAGAGTCAGTGAACTTGAAGATAGATCAATAGAAATTACCCAATGTGAACAAGAGAAAAAAGTCGAAACACAGACATATACACACACACAATCTCTGCTCTCATGGAGCTTACAATCTAGTTGGGTGGATGTGGGGGGGATATCAACAGACAATAAACAAATAAATACGTATCAGGCAGTAATAAATGTTTAAAAAAGAATAAACCAGGGTAAAGAGTTAGAGAATGACAGGGATGCTCTTTTATATAGGATAGTTAGAAAAGGCCTCTCCAAGAGGTGCCATTCGAGCAGAGAAAGAATTGAGGGATTGAGCCATGTGGGTATCCGAGAAAGATTGTTCTGGAAGGTGGGAGCAGCATGTGCAAAGACCCTGAAGTGGGGATATGCTCGGAGTGCTCAGAGGTCAGCAGGGTTCATTGTGTGTGGGTGGAGTGAATGAAGGAGAGAGTGAGGGGAGGTGAGATCCGAGAGGTGGGCAGGGGCAAAGGTGGGCGCAGGGAGACCAGTTAGGAGGCATTGCAATAGACCAGCAGTAAACGATGGTGGCTGGGCCAGGGAGGCAGCAGCGGAGGGTTGAAGGAGTTGGATCCTGGGTACATTTTATAGAGTCTGCAGGCCTTGCAAGTGTTCCTTGAGCTGGGGAGAGGGAGGGGGAAACATCACTTCAGCTTTGGACCCGTTCATTTGAGATGCCTGAAGACATCCCAGCTGTGTAGTGGGCAGCAGTGTGAGTGTGGTGCCCCATTACGGCAGAGGTTCTCAACCCGTCTGCTGCAGGGTATCAGTTTACCTCTGTTGGCGGCAAGGCTACTGGGAGAAGCGAGGGAGACAGGACCCCAGCTCAGCACGTGTTCCCAGGGGAATCAGGACATTGTGTAGGGTGCAGCAGTAGCTCCGCCCCCGACACCGCCCCTGCCCATCCTCGCAGTCACCGCTGTCTCCTGCTCCAGGCGCTGCCGTACGGTGGTTCAGCAAATGCTGCTGCCCGTGGTTTCTGCTGCCTCTGCTCACAGCTTCTGCTGCCTGCGTGGTCTCAGCTCCAGCCACTGCTTTCTGCTGACTCAGCCCTTATGTCTCATATGCTACCCTCTCTGATGGGGCATCTGCTCACCACCCAGTGCTAGCGTCCTCTGTTGGATGTAGTTCTCCCGCCTGGCCTCCAGGAGGCGCCACTGGATACACTAGGGCGACACCAACACCCGTCCAAGCAGATGTGGTCAGAGAGGCAGGTTCAGAAGGCACTTGAGGTCACGGATGCCCTCGGCTTGGGCCGCCTAGGACAAAGTCAGAGGGAGGAGGTGCTTCTGAGAGGGTCCTGCTGGGAACAGCGCCCGCTCTGATTATGGAGCGGCCTAGGGGATGGGCAGAATTAGTTTGTTCCTTCGTTCACCACGTGCTGTGATGCAGGCACCATCCTAGGCATGTGCGTTACACGGCACATGGAAGCAGTTCATGCCCGTGTGAGGTGGTGACTGTACGCTGAATACAGCGTTACAATTAACACTCAGCGTCCTAAGTGGTAGGAAGAGGGACGCTTTGGGGACCCTGAAGTCGGGGGAGTCAGGGAGAGTTTTCTTGAGGAGGCGAGATTTCCACTAATCCTTGAAGGATGAGCAGGAGTTACTCGAGCAAAGAGCGAGGGCTGGGGACCGAGGTGACAGCCTGTGCTGGGGCCCAGCAATGAGAGAGGGGCTGCACATAATGGGGAGCAGAAGGCCGCAGGACCTGGACGGGGAGTGAGAGCTGAGAGGTGCTGGAGGAGCCGGGGAGGTAGGCCTGGGCCGGATCACCCCGAAGAGGATTTGCAGTTTTCTCTGGAGCGGTAAGCCCCGGAGGCCCTTAAGAAGGCCAGGGGCGTGCATTTCAGAGAAATCCCTTTGGCTGCTGGTGGAAGATGATTGAAGGGCATGAACGGGTGCGGGAAGTCCAGGAAAAATCCTCATCTCACACGTTACCTACCTAAGCACCACCACCGCCTACGCCTCCTATAGGTGGAGGTTTAAGTGACTTACCCAGAGCCACCCGGGGCCATGGTGGGATTGTAATCAGGGTGACCCACTTGTGTGTTCCACTTGTTTAGCACTGAAAGCTCTTGTCCGAGGAAACCCCTGGGTCCTGGGCAGACTGAGACATCCGGTCACCCTAAGACGATTTATGTCCCGTTTCACTACATCAAGGCAGGCCTGTATCCCTCCCTCACTGACTCCCATCCATCCAGCTGGCCAGACATGGGCCGGGCCTCTAGAAACACCCCTCTGAGCCGGGAAAGGGGAGGGGAGCGATGCTGGGATATTGCGAGGCGAGTTTCCGGATCGAGGAGCTATTTGTCATCACCTCATTGGGAGGGCGCCTGGTTCCTAAATATTGCCTGCAATTTTGCTAAATGTATCTTAACAGGAGTGGTGTAAGCGCTGTCAGAGATAGAGGGGAGAGCGATGGCACCGCTTGGGATAATGAACTGCTTAGTTAAGATGAATCCGTCTCCACTTCTGATCTCGATACCGCGCGTGGGGGGGTTCACGCTTCGAGGCTGATTGGTGGCAAATTTAATGCCGAGAAAGAGCTCCGTCTGTAGCTGGTGCCTGATTAATTGGCAGATTCGCTTCTGGGAGATATGGCATTGAGTTGTACCGGGAACAAAGGTGGCAAGATTCAGGCTCAGTTAACATCTGACATGGGGTTGATTGGAGCAGGGAGGCCCTAAAAATCCAATTCACCCCTCATTTTACAGATGAGGAAACTGAGGCCCAGAGAGAGGGACAGCCTACCTGGGGTCCCAGAGCTGGTTGGCAGCACACGTGTCTCTTGTGCTCTTTCCACTGTACTCACTGCCTCCTGGCTGGGGGTGAGCCCGCCTCCCCCCACCCCTGCCTGCTCAGCTGCCCCTTCCCACCAGCCCGGATTCTTGATATGGGGGTCCTGGCAACAGGAGGCCTTCTTGGCTCTCCTGTCTTTGGTTTTCTGTCCTCTGCCTCGTGGGGAGGATTCCACGTGCGTCTCCTGGCTCTGATCCCAGTCTGAATGGGAGCCCTGGCTGAGCTGGTCCTCTCTGAATCTTCTCCTACTCCCTCACCAGCTCCCAGATGTCAGACCCCACTCTTCCCGCCTCTATCCCGGACATCCTCCCTCAACTGGACAGTGGGAGGTGGGGGTCTGGAGGCCGGGGGCCATGGTGCCGCCTCACCCTGCTCGGGGCGCCCACCTGTGTGGGCAGGGCTCATGGTGAACCAAACCCTGGGACGTGTTTCACCACGTTGGACCCTGTGATTTTCCCACGTCCATGTTACACATGGGGAACCTGAGTCCCACGGAGGCCACATAACTTGCCCGGGTCACTCCTGAGTGGTACAGGAACTTGAACTGGATGACTGACTTCACATTTGTTGGAGCTGTGCGGGAGGGAGAAGCAAGGAAGGCGAGGGAGGGAATTTTCAGAGCAAGAACCCGGGCCGGGAGTGCGGAAGATGATGGAATTGTGTGAAACAGGAGCTGGAGGAATGTTAGTCGGACCTAGAGGAGAACTTTTCCTGTGTTTTTCTTTTGCAAAAAGCTCCTTGGCCGTGAACACTTGCTGCCGCCTCTCCTGTGTGTGTCTCTCTGGGAAGGTGATTCCTCACCTGTGGTCCAGGTGTTGCCTGGCACTGATGCAATCCTTGCCTGGCACATCTGTCAGAAAGCAGCCTCACCTCCTGCCTTCTCCCTCCCCACCCCGCCAGCGGTCCTGCCTCCAGACCTGAGGCTCAGAGCCCGCACATCGCTGCAGGCTTGTCCGGGCCTGGATATGAAAGGTCCAGGGAGCCTGCCGCTCACTGTGAGGCTCTGATCTCAAGTCCTGGGGGAGTGGCGTCTCCCCTCTGCCCACCATCCCTCACTGGGGCCTGATCTCACCCCCTACCTCTCTGTTTGCAGTCTCCATCGCTCAGTGTGCAGTTCCGGGTCCCCTCTTCCGGCCCCTGCACTGGCTGCCCTGCCCCATCTGAGAGTCAGGCCCTTGATGAAGATGCGGTCAATGGCGTGGTGAATCAGGGGGCTACCCCCGGAATTCCCACATGACCTCAGCAAGTCACGAGACTGCTCCGGGTGGTAGCAAAATAGGGTGGAAAGAGATTGGTTTCCGAGTCGGACAGATCTAGGTTAAAATCCTGGCTTTGCTGCTTACATCGAGGCGGTACTGAGCAAGGCACCTCACCGCTCTGCACGGCGATTCCTCCTTGTGACAGAGGAGCCTTCACAGGGGCTGTGGGGATGGAGATTGCCTGCATGTAAGACGCCCAAAAAGGAGCACTCGTATTCTTAGTTGAATACCCTGCCGATATTAATGGAACTCGCATTCCAGAAGGAGAGGCAGATGTGCAAACAATTACGCTCCAGTGTGACGCAGGCAGCAATCGCAGCATCTTACAAGGCGTGCGCAGGTTGTTGCGAGGGCCGATGAAAATATGGGAGCGAAAGTGCTGGGAAAACTAGAAAGTGCCATGCGCCCAGGAAGGAGGTTTTAATCCTCAGAGCTGAGGCCTCCTGCCTGCTCTGCACCCTCGAGCCCGCCCTATCAGCTCCTGGTGCGGCTGAGAAGAGGAGGAGCCTCGGCTCGGAGCGTTTCACCCCCGTCCCCACCCTCGTAGGGGACCTCGGGAATGGGAGACACAGTCACTTTTGCCTCAGCTCAAGGAGGTGTTTCCTAATGTTGTTCTAAAGGACTCTAGCAGGGCGGGGACCAGGGGCAGAGTGGGACTCAGGATCCTGCAGTGGGAGTGAGCGCCCCCTTAAGTTTGGCACCCTAGGCATCTCGCTTGCCTCGCCCTCATCCCAGCCCTGGTTCTGGTCCTATACCACACTCAGCCAAACTTGGGCTCCAGAGTGTGCAAGGTGACCAAAAAATTTCCTACCACGGCCCAAGTCTGGAGAATCATAGAGCACTCTGAGCACAGTCCAGCTTCAGGGCTTTTGCACGTGTGGTATCCTCTAACTGGAATGCTCTCCCTCTAGATACCCACGTGGCTCACACTTTCCTTTATTCTGGCTTCCTCAGAGAGCTTGCCCGGGCCACCTTGTCCAGAGCAACCCCGATTTATTTTTCTTAATTACACTATCACCACCTGACATATCTCCCATCCTTTGTTTACCTGAGTATTGTCTCCTATGCTGGAACGTCAGCTCCATGAGGGCAGGACCTGCCTGTTCTCACTGTTGCATCCCCAGTGCCTAGAACAGTGCTTGGTACCGAACAGATGTTTAATGGATATTTTTTCATGCATGAAGGCAGGACAGGGAGAAGGAAGGAGAGACAGGTTCTGAGAAGTCTTGAAGGGGCAGAACATGTTTAATTTTGTTTAGCCCAATATTTCTCACACTTAGCTGATAATAGAAATCTTGTTGCCTGAAACATCTATTGGAAGCCCCCTATTCTGTACACACTCCGGGAAAGGCTGCCTTAGAACCACCCATTCATGCACCCACCTTCTAATTCTCCTCTTCCCACGTCCCAAGGACCCCCTCCCTCTGACGTGCAGTGGGCTGTTCTCTGCTCTCACCCTACGTGCCCCTGTGGATCCTATTGCCTTAGAGCACCTGTTGGTGCTCCTAAGACTGTCACCAATTACCAGAGCTTCGACCGTTCCCGCCAACCCCACTGCACTCACTCCTGCAATTCCCCCATGGCTTGCCAACAAACGGTGACCCCACAAGCCGGCACCTCCATCCCGCCCTGCCCGCCTCCCATGCTCACACCTTTCTGCATCGACCTCGGGCCAGCTGGAAGATTGATGCCTCTGAGAGTGTGTCCTTCCTGCCTCCTTCTGGTGGGAGGGGCCCTTCTCTGGTCTTGAGCTCCTCAGCCATCTGGACTGATGATGCTCAACTCTTAGCTGTAGCTTCAAAGGTGAGACTCCCAGGGGACGGCATCCCCACTGGAAAGGGGAGCCAGGGGGTCAGCCCAAGACTGGGAATGGTAGCAGACGGGACCAGGTCCTGGGGTCCCGCCATGGTCCCTCCAGCAACACACGCCCTCCTCTCCAGGGCTGGCTGGCTCTTTCCTCTTCTCCTATCGTTAGAGAGGCTGTAGAGACCATGGGGGTCGTAATGGAACAGAAAGTCTGGGTTCGAATCCCAGCTCTGCCCGTCACAGCTGTGTGCTCTTGGCAAGTTGCTTTGCCTCTCTGTTTCCCCGTGGAAAGAGGGAATAATACTTGTTCCTCTCTCCCAGGACTGCCGTGACGATGAAGCGAGTGAGTGTGTCTTAAGCACTGAGCCCAGTGCCGGGCTCAGAGTGGGTGCCGTGGGTCCTCTCTCCCTGGGGTTCTTCTCTCTGTGGTGGCCTCCTTGTTCGTCATGGTTTGGGACCTGGCTGGGCTCGACGACTTCCCTGGTCATCCAGGCTGGGCCAGGTTCCCCTCTCCCCTCCCAGAGCCCCCCACCTTCCTTCTACTATTACCCCTGCCCATGGAGTGTGACTGTGTCGTGAACGTGTCCCCCACTGTGCGTTCCTGGAGGAAGGACAATGCTCAAGCCCTCCTACTTTCCGATCCCAGCCCAGGGCTTGCTCAGAGCAGGTGGGAGCAAACTTTGGGGCTGAATGAATGAGGAAAGGAAGAGACAGAGTGTGTCTTTCCAGTGAGTTCTGGTCGCTGCTCTCCTGGACCATGCTGGCTCTGACTCCGTGCGCGTCTGACCTCCGGCCTAAGTCAGAGGCCGCCTGGGGGCGAGCCCCGCGCCTTACCCCTCACCCTTGGCATTGGGACCTGAAGCTTGCACCACACAGGTCGAGTCTGACTCAAGCTTCCAAATTCATGCTCCCGAGGTCAATTCTTGTTTTGTTTTTTTTTTCCTGGAGTGTTGTAGCCATTAAGTTCCAGGCAGGGGTCAGGCCCCTGGACTCCATCCGCTCAGGTTGCCTGCACAATTGAAATCCCCGAACTCATCCTGGCTAGTTTTCTCATTAAGACGATCGGACTGGATTGATCCTTTAGATCGATGGCTGGATGTCAGCCGGCGGGAAACAAATCAGATGAGCCTGGACAATCGGCTCAAGAATGAGTTCCCCCACCGAGCTGGAGTGGGTGCCCAGCCCTCGGGATGGGGCTCTGGAGGCAGAGGAGTGGGTCAGAGCCTCACCAGGCTGGACTTTGGTGTGGAGGCAGCAGTGTTCCCCAGGAAGTGGCTACCAGGGGGAGAGCCCCAGCTCCCAGGATTCCCAGGGACAGCTGGTGGGCGAGAAGCATCATCTGGTGTTTGCAGAGGTTTGAGACTTCTTCCTAGGCAGTCAGCCCATGCTCCCCTCCACCACCATCACCACTGCCGTGGCCAAGGATGGGAACTAGGTCTCCCTTTGGGTGGCAGGGTGTGTGTGTGATGGGAGATGTGGGGGTTCAGGAAGCAAACGGCAGTGTCTCAGGCTCTCTTCACTTTCACCAGGAGTAATCGGTTAAGAGGCTGGGAATGGAGGCATCTGGGCACCTAGAACACCATGTCCCATGTGGGTTTCACAGGACCCTGCCTGCATAGGATGCTGATAGGGTTTGAGGGATGGCTAAGGGACCCATGTTCAAATAGGTTTGGAGACACTAGGTTAAGTGCATTTCAGATGTTCATTTCCTGCAGGGCTTACTCAGCTAACGAATGTCGCGACTCTCTAAAGGGGGGATGGAGGTGCAGTGTTTGACCACAGACCCGTGCCTCTGGGATATCCTGTAGAAATACGTTGAGGCACCTCCTCCAGGTCCTATTTTCATGGAAAAATTCATCCCAAGAAGGAGTGTTTTCAGGTTGGAGGGATCCGTGGGGGCCAAGGAGGTTCCCAGAAAGGGAGATGTCAAGGAGAAGGAAGAAGAGGTCATTGAACTCCACTCAGGCCCACAGTCGCCCATCACATAGACTACAGTGTGAACAGCGCCCCCTACAGTTGCGTGCACTCTGTCCCCCACCCCGCCCCGGTCAGCCCAAGCCTCCTGCTGGTCAGCTCGTGCCCTCACTGCTCCTTTCTCCTTTCTTCCCTAGGCTACTTGACTGTTAACATTGAGCCTCTCCCACCTGTCGTGGCTGGTGATGCCGTGACTTTGAAGTGTAACTTCAAGACGGATGGTCGCATGCGAGAGATCGTGTGGTACCGGGTAAGTCGCCCCCACTGTCCCCTCTGCGCCCACGGCCAGGGCTGAGGGCAGAGTCCCCAGAGCCCCTCTGGAGACCCTCACAGGCTTGGCTGTGTCCTCAGCCCTACCCCAGCCCTGAGCTGTCCTGCGCCCGCAGCTAGGTCCCCATCCTCTGCCAAAACCCTCCTCAAAGACCAGCCTTCCCTTCTGCCCTCAAGATCTATCTCGTTCTGGCCTCCTTTGTGCCCCAAGGCTCAGGAAACCCCACTCGTACCAGGGGTGTTCATACTAACTCAACTAACTCAACGTAGTATGAGTTACTAAGAACCCCGTGGGCCCTGCTGGCAGTGTCACAACTAAGGAATGTCGAAGGGTGGAATTTCAGGCGTGAGGCTTTGGATGTTTTTGGTAGGGGAGAGAGAAGATCAGGATGGCTTCCTGCCTTCTTAAAACTCAAATTACAGAGATAGCCTGCCTCCTAATCTCATTGCGTATAGGACTAGTCCTGGTCTGGCACCCTAAGTTTAGGGCTGAGAAGGGATGTTGTTGGAGACGCGCAGATGCCCACCTGCCCAAGGCCCAGGTGTCGGCAATAGCAGGACCAGCCTCGGGTCTTGGGCAAAAGTGTTGGCTTTTTCAGCCACTGATGGAAACCTTCATGTGTCTGGACCGGGCCTCCCAGCCTGGTCTCCCTTTGCCATAAGGGCGTGGGGGCTGGCTGGGCTCAGGAGAAGGTCCAGTTGGCACTGGAGTTCTTCTCACAATGCCATGCTCAGGTTTGCACAGAGCAAGGTACCACCATCTTGGGAATGGGTTAAGGCAGAGAACTTCCCTTCCCTGATCTAAAAACAGGGGTTGGCAAAATTATTCGGTGAGGCCCAGATAGTAAATATTTTCCTCTCTGGGGACCATATGGTCTCTGTGGCAACTACTCAGCCCTGTTGTTGTAGTGGGAAGACAGCCACAGACGGTGTCCCAGTGGAAGGGCATGGCTGGGTTCCAATAAAACTTTACTCATGGACGTCGAAACTTGAATTCCTTATCATTTTTACGTGTCACAAAATGTTCTTCTTTTTTATTTTCTTCAACCATTAAAAAAGGTAAAAAATCGGGGCCGGCCTGGTGGCGCAAGTGGTTAAGTGTGTGTGCTCTGCTGCGGCGGCCCAGAGTTCACCAGTTCGGATCCCGGGCGTGCACCGACGACACACTGCTTGTCGAGCCATGCTGTGGCGGTGTCCCATATAAAGTGGAGGAAGATGGGCATGGATGTTAGCCCAAGGCCAGTCTTCCTCAGCAAAAAAAGAGGAGGATTGGCAGACGTTAGCTCAGGGCTGATCTTCCTCACACACACACAAAAA